GCGCGAAGGACGCGTCGATCCGCTAGAGCTACTCCGCGCGTCCTTGTACGACCGGCCGTCCTCCGTTACGACCGAACGACGACGCGACTCCCTCAGGTCATCCTTCGGGGGCGTGTATCGCGAACCTCGCGAACTATGTCGCGATTCTCCGCGCCGCGAATAGCTGCCTGTGCACAATGCCCGTACGGCTTAAAAAAAGTCTCGCACTTCAGTTTTCTCGGCACTTGCACAGTGTATCACGTGTCACTAGTACGACGCACGTACGGCTTAAAAAAGTCTCGCACTTCAGTTTTTCGGCACTCGCACTACGTATTACACGTTATTCTCACAAAAAAATAACGCGAATATTGGACTCAGTGGCCAATTGCGCGTGATTATCCCACTTCTGACTTGTTAGACAGAACGTGAAAAAGGGAATTGGGAAACAATGAACTACGCAAGGTATTCGTAACTATATTTTATTCTGGCCCTTTCCGCGTCGGAAAAACGAATGACTCCGTCCTGGGCCTAGACTCTCACCTTTGTCGTCAGCCTTCCCCCATCGGTAGGGGTGGGGGTGCTGACGGACGAAGGCCAGACGCGGTCCCTTGCCAGCGCCTCGACTTGGGCCTCGCCTTTTCCCGACGCCTTACAGTAAAGTTTCATTTAAATTCATTCAGCTATTTATATTCAATCGTATTAATAATATGAAAAATTTCTTTTTTTTCAATAATTAAAATATGATCAGGAGGTCTTAAAACGTGTATTTCCGTTAAATAAATTTTACAAAATTTTTTTTTCATTATGGGTACTTTGCTTATGTGCGCCTACATAGGTCGGAAAGTAAAAATGCCTGGGCAGTCGAGAATCTCGGCTCGAGAATCCAAATCGTATGCCGTTGACGGGAGGTCGGATTTCAGTTGTTTAGAGCGAGAAGGCAAATGTGAGCCTTTCTCTCTCGACTCCCACGAGGCGATCCGAAATTACTTCGGGCAGCTTCGGAGAATCGAGAAAGAGAGCATGCGTCAGTTTGCCTTTGTCGACTTTCCGAAACTTCACGAGCTCACGTACGCGTATTTGGCATGTGTGCGTGTGCACCCGGCGGTGCTTTTCTGGCATCTCTGTCTAGGATTGTCCCGATTAAGCAGATTCGGCGTCAAACATTATTAGTCACTCCGACGATGGTACGAAATTAAATTCTGTTAATCGAATATACAGCCAGGTCCAACTGTTCGTACCTCAATAATAGATTTTTACTGTTTCCAAATAAAGCAAAGCGTTAACTTAATTTAATTTTTAAACTCTAACAAATTTTATACTGATTTGAGTTTGCTTCCTTTTAACTAACCTTCCCAATGGTCTTCAAATTAGAAACTGATTTACTTGCCAAGAATTACCTGAGCTCCTGGACCTTCTTTAGTTGAGTTCTGTGGCGGGGATAACCAATCAGCGACGTTGTATCTTGGAACACGTAGGTCAAATTTTATTTCCGAACAATTAATAATAATTTATTAATAATTTAATTTACAAATTTATTTGTGGAATGAAATTTAAATAGAATTCAGTTTACGACTAAATGTAAAATTTATGTACGGAAATCCTACAATTTCTATAAACAGATGATGATTTATCGTATGATTTGATTGATAGAACTGTTTGAACGATAATCGGTGACTTTGTTATAGGTCGTATCCAAATCGGAGGTTCGGTCTGTCATAAAAGCTATTGTTTGTGTCTTGAGTTGAAACAGCTACAGAACCTTTTTGAATAAGTCTGCCAAAATTGTTCAAACGAAACTTTCATAATAAAATTCTTGATAATAAGTAGAAGTTCTAGAATAGAATTTGAAAGAAGCTAAGTAATTTATTATGGAAGTTCTATATAAATTTTTTAACGGAGTTTACGAAAAAAAGATTTGTAATTGTTTAGACCGTTGGTTTACATTTTGATTTTCAAACTGTCGTAAATTGCTACTGTTTTGCCACGTAGGAAATATAGTAACAGTAGACTGATAAAAAACTGATTTAATTAATTAATTTATTTATGGAATAAATCCTTCAATAGTGGGAATAGCAAATCATAATAAAAATGATAATTTAAATTACGATATTATTAAATATAAAGTAGAATTAAAAACAATTAAAAAAAATTCGTTAGTCCTCTAAAACCTGGAAGATTTTAATAAATAAATCCTTTGAATTTATCAAAATCATTGAAAAACGAACGTTTGCAAAATATATTTATGATATTAGTGATTTTGTTAGTAACTTATGAAATCGTAAAATCTAACTATGGATCAGAAATTTACAAGTTACAAACTTATAAATTCGCTAATAATTAATCGAATATTTTTCAAGAGGCCACTGAAGAACAAAATTGAAACGGAAACATTCGTAGTCTAGTTGTTCCGACGCAAAAAATGTGTTCCTATGTTTCCTCGCGGAATGTTGTGTATAACGTACAGTAAGTGTAAAAAGTATTCGTAGAGTGATTAATTACTATTAAAATGCTGAATAATAATGTTTATTAAACTGTTTAAGATTGAAGTGAACTGTAGAGATTTTCATTGAGATGCCGGTTATGAGAGGGTTCGCGAAAAATGACTATGGTGCAAAGTTAATTAAACAAGGTCCTAATTAACAACATTGTCCCGTTTGGGAAATACATAATTAATGAGCGGTACGTTTAAGTAAGAGTTTTACACGAGCGGTTATGAGAAATGGCGATATTATTGATCGCCATTTCTGAGCGCGAGTGAGAATGAGAATCAACCGTTTATTACGAGTTTAATACTCATAATACCCTTGCAATTATATTAATTGCAAGGGATTTATGAGCGTGAGCCTTGATAATTAGTTGTGAATTAATTACATTGAACACAGTAGATTATATGCGGCACAAAAGAACAAAGGAAACTAAGACTGAAAAACAGAGCACACTTGTCGCGTTTTAGATTACGAACAAGACAGACTTAATGGCCGCGCTCGTGGCCACCACGAGGTTTCGACCCGCCGGTAGAGAGATCGTTGCGCGCGCAGGTGGGCCAGCTATCCTGCTCGCGCACAAAGTGTGCCCGAGAGGTGCTGCCAATGAGCGTCGTGGTGGCCACGGCATGAGCGAAACATTGCAAGAAACAAGGCACGTGCGTGTTTCTAAAAATGAGAGTTAATTCTCGAACATTCCGCCCGCCATCAGCCACTTGTGGCTGATGATTCCGCTGTTGGTAGGATGGCCAGCTTCGCAATCGGTCTGGTGAGTGTGGTGGTCGCGGTCTTCAGGGTGACCACCCTGGTGAGTCCGTCCTTCCCTGGATGTAGTTCCAGAACTCGTGCAAGAGGCCACTTGCAAGGTGGAAACCTCTCGTCGGTGATGAGAACCAGTGATCCAACCTTGATGGCATTGGATGGGTGATGCCATTTTGAGATGGCTTGTTGCCGCTGCAAGTAATGAGATGACCATTGAGCCCAGAACCGTTGAACCCGTTGTTGAATGAGCTGCCACATTGCCCTTGGTGGAAGTGAGACGTCCTTCAACGAAGGTTCAGGCAATGTTGAGAGAGCAGTGCCGATGAGAAAATGAGCAGGCGTGAGCGGTGAGAGATCTTCAGGATCATCGCTGAGTGGTTCGAGGGGTCGTGAGTTGAGAATTGCTTCTACCTGGGTCAGAAGCGTGCTGTACTCTTCGAAGGTGAGGAGGGTATCACTCACGGTACGCCTGAGATGGAACTTGAGAGACTTCACGACAGCTTCCCATTTTCCACCCATGTGCGGTGCTGCAGGTGGATTGAAGCACCATTCTGTCCTGTCGTTAACAAATAAATGAGTGAGGTGAGAATGTGATTTTGATCCCTGAGTGAACATTGCCTTGAGACATGAGTCTGCTCCGGTGAAATTGGTGCCACAGTCAGTGTAAACCTTCTGTGGGATTCCTCGCCTAGATGAGAATCGCCTGTACGTTGCTATGAAGCCTTCGGTTGAGTAGTCTGACACCAGCTCCAGATGAACAGCTGATGTGGTGAGACAAACGAAGACGCAGATCCATCCCTTCGATGTTTTGGCGCCTCGTCCTTTCCAAGTTTTGAGAGTGAGTGGACCGGCATAGTCCATGCCGGTATGAGTGAATGGCGATGACGGTGTGACTCGAGAAAGAGGTAGTTGGCCCATCAGTTGATGGGCACGGATTCCCCTTTGGCGAGCACACGTCAAACACCGCAGAATATGAGCCTTGACTGGAGCTCTTCCTCCGATGATCCAGTAGGTTTGTCGAATGTAGGCGAGTGTGAGTTGAGTTCCACCATGAAGAGTTTGTTTGTGAGCGTGATCTATAATCAATTCAGACAAACGTGAGTGGCGAGGCAAAATAGCGGGATGTTTACCCTCGTAGCGGAGCTGAGAGTTTTCCAATCGTCCGCCGACTCTGATGATTCCCTTATCATCAATGAAGGCAGTCAGGTGACTGAAGGCATGAGATGAAGGCAGCGATGAGTGTGAGGTGAGCATCTTCATTTCATGAGCGAAGTAGATGGTCTGAGTTGCCCTGATCCAGAATTTCTGAGCATCTTCCAGATCACTCGGCGAGTGTGAGGTATAGGCTGGTGAGCAGTGGACCCCTTTTAATTTTGCTATAAATCTGAAACAAATAGCAGTGATGGTGAGAAGTTTCTTGAGCGTTGAGTATTTGTGAATGAGATCCCACTGATACTCGATCTTTTGGGAGATGAGAGCAGTAGGGATACTTGGACGCGCTTCTAGTGCACATGAGGCGTTCTTGAGCTTCGGTTGTGATGGCCATGAGTCCTGGGGTTGAGTAAGCCATGGTGGTCCCGTCCACCATAGCTGATGATGATCAAGCTGAGCAGTTGAAAGGCCTCGTGATGCGCAGTCAGCTGGATTCGATGTTCCAGACACATACCCCCAATGTGCCTCAGGTGTGAGTCCTTGTATCGCCGATACTCTGTTTCTCACATAATCCTTCCAGCGTGATGCGTGAGATTTGATCCATATGAGTGTGACTTGAGAATCCGTCCACAAGTGAGTTGTAGCAATGTTAAGATTGAGCTTCGCTTGAACATAGCTTGCCAGCCTTGCAAGCATAAGAGCTGCTGTGAGCTCCAGTCTCGGGATAGTGAGTTTCTTGAGAGGTGCGACCTTCGTCTTGGCGCACACCTGTGACGTCACCTTGAGATTTGTGGACGGTGAGAAAACCGTGATGTAGATCACGGCTGCCATGGCGAGCTGAGATGCATCAGAGAAACCGTGTATTTCCACCACTGAGTCTTGACAGGTGTTGAACCAGCGTGGAATTGAGAGTCTGGCCAGACTTGTGAGATCTTCTCTGAGGATGAGCCATCGTTCTGTGATGTGGGATGGTAGTGATTCATCCCAGTTGAGTTTGTGCAGCCATAATTCTTGCAATAAAATCTTACAGCGAATTATGACCGGTGAGAGGAAACCAAGTGGATCAAATATCTGTGCTACTTGAGATAGTATGAGGCGTTTACTTATCTTGGTTGGGGGTGAGAATGAGTCCTCCTTCGATGAGAATGTAAATGTATCCTTGAGAAAATTCCATTGCATTCCGAGTATTTTGGTTTTGCAGTCGTCCAATGAGAGTGATGAGCCTTGAGCATGAGCTTCAGGTGAGATGGCTTCGAGTAGCGCGGGGCAGTTTGAATGCCACTTAGCAAGTGGGAAACCGCCCGCGTTGCACAGACCTTGAAGCTGATGAGCGAGTTTCTTGAGATCTTCTGGTGAATCTGCTCCTCCAAAGATGTCGTCGACATATCTGGCATGAGTGATCGATGGTACGGCCAGAGGATAATGATGACCTTCATCCTCAGCTAATTGCAGCAATGTTCTGACCGCAAGATACGGTGCTGCCTTGGTACCGTAGGTGACCGTAGTGAGCTGAAATTGAGTCTCTTGCAGGTCCTTATCCACCCACAATATTCTTTGCAGATCCCAGTCGTCTTCATGCACTCTGATTTGCCGATACATTTTGGTAATATCGGTTGAGAATGTGTATCTGTGCTGACGAATCCATAGGAGCACGTCAGCGATGTTGAGCAGTAGGTTTTCACCAGTGTGCATGATGTCGTTGAGAGAATATCCAGAAGATGTTGAGCTTGAGCCATTGAAGACAACTCTCAGCTTCGTAGTCGTGCTGTCTGGTTTCAAAACACCATGATGAGGCAGATAGAAAGTTGTTGAGTGTTGAGATGAGCGCGATGATGCTCTCTTCATGTGCTGCAGATTCTCGTATTCCTCCATAAACTCTTGATAGAGGTGAAGATCTTCTTCATTCCTCTTGAGCTTGCGTAGAGTACGATTCAAACAAGCATGAGCGATGTTGTACGAGTTTCCCAACATGGTTGAAGGCAGTTTGAGAGGGATGCGCACGATGTATCGCCCATCCGGATCCCGCAAATGAGTTGTTCTGAAGTGATCCTCACACTCTTGCTCTTTAGGGGTGCGTTGAGATTGGTTGGTGATTGGAACCTCTTCCTGTGTCCAGAATTTCGTCAAGAGATGTTGGAGAGACGATTCTTCTTCTTCTTGAGTTGAAACCTGGTGAGATGTGAGCGCTCGAGTTGATGCTGAGCCCACTGGTCCAATAACCAACCAACCAAAGATTGAGAGTTGAGCGATAGGCGTTGATGGTAAACCCTTGATGAGATTGGGCTTGATGACATGCCCGTAGGAATCTGCACCGATGATCACGTCGATTGAGCGAGGCACCATGAAGTCTGGGTCAGCGAGCTTGAGATTTTTGAGATGAGGCCATTCTTGATGATCCACGTTGGTTGATGGCAAGATGGTCGTCAATGTTGGAAGAACGTGAGCTCTGAGTCTCACTGATGCGTTGCTGTAGTTGGAATGCAACGTCAATGACACAATGCCTCGAGTAGTTGTTGATTTTCTGCCACCAATGCCAATGATCGACATTGACGAGTGTGAGCGTAGAAGATTGAGCTGCTTGATGAGATCTTCCCTAACAAAGGAGACCTCTGACCCAGAATCAATTAAAATTCTTACTTGATGTTTTGCCACCGTTGAGATGACGTGAGCGGCTGCCGTTGCCAGCAGCGTGAGCGATGGATGAGCCTGGATTGAGCGTGAGTGTGTTGTTGAGTGGACGACTGCACCTAGTTCTCAATTGCTGCGAGCGGAGGGTTGAGCGGTGGTTGTCCGGTGGAGCATCGTGTGATGATGCCCCTTGCACTGCTTGCAGCGTTGGGCTGAGCGGCAATTTCTTGTGGAATGACGCCCGCAGCAATTTGAGCAGAGCACCAGATGCTCCACTGCCTTCCATCGGTCGTTAATGCTCATTTCCCGGAACCTTGAGCACATGACGATGAAGTGGTCGCCGTGGCATATGTCACACGGATACCTCCCGGGATCTTGAGCGGTGTAGGCGTTGTCGACATTGGTGGAGCGATGAGCAGGAGCGGTTGAGGCATGGGCGTTGGCAGCATGAGCGGTGGTTTTGAGAGGTGGCTTCGTTGCCACGGGCTGAGCCTTTGCTGCCGCGGCTTGGCCCAAGCCTTCGAGCGCTGTTACCCGCGCCGCCACGAAATCTCGTACTCTTGTGAGCGGTGGGAAGTCGGTGCTCGACCCGATCTCGTGCTCCCACGCCTCCCGTGTGGTCCTGTCCATGTTTCTGACAAGGCAATGGACCAGGATGGCGTCTCCGATGTCTGAGACTCCCAGTGCGGCGAGGGAGGTGGCCACATCATGAATCGTGGCTGAGAGGCTGCTGAGTGAAGTTGCGTTTCGTGGCGGCACGGGTGTGAGGAGTTGGAGTTTGTCCAGCTGGGAAGTGATCAGCAACCTCTTGTTGGAATATCGGGCAGTGAGTGTGTTCCACGATGGGATGAAGGATTTCCCGACGAGTGGAAGGTTGCTGATCAGTCGGGCTGGTTCTCCTTTGAGCGCCGATCGTAGATAGTGAAGGCGCTCAATGTCGTTGAGCGCCCCATTGTCGAGGATGAGCGATGTGAACATATCCCTGAAGGTGGGCCACTCGTTGAAGCTCCCCGAGAACTCCGGGAGGGTTATCTCTGGGAGCTTCGGCGTTGATCTTTGAGCGGTCGGTTGAGCGGGCTTTGTCGGCTCCTGCATCGCCTTGAGTTTTCCTGCTGCCCTGCGGATGTCAAATACGATGGCCGCCTCGTTGCCAAAGTGTTCCGCGGCGAAATATTCGTGATCGAGGTGAGCGGCAGGCCAGGTGGACTCCAGGTAGGCATGATCCTTCATGAAGGCCTTGTGGACCTCGTCCACCTGGTTCATGAACGCAGCCATCTCCTGCGGTGATGTCTCGGAGGCTGTGAGCGGTAGCTGCCCCTGAATCCGCTTTAGAAGCTGAATCCGACAGAGCTGGCTATGGAATTTACATAGCAGCTCTGTCGGAATTGGCGTAGCAGATTGGGACCTGGTGCGCGGCGGATTTTGAGCGGCAGGCACCTCCAGTGAGAGGTGAGAGGCTGTTGGTGAGACGGGCGCAGCGGGGGCCGGTGATGTTGGCCGCGAGGTTGACTCCTCCACCTTCTTCGTGCACTTCGCCTTGTCGCACATGTCGACGCACTTCACTTTGCACGTGAGGTTGAGTTGGTGAACACTGAGTGTCACTGGGCGGGATGAGCGTCACTATTGAGGTTGAGTGTCACTGTGAACGTTAGGGCGTGGGCATTGTTCACAACGAACACGCGCACACAAGGTGAATTGAAAGTTCACGAACGTTATGTTAAGAGAAAACCACAATGTTTTATGAATTCACTTCACACCTTTGCACCATATCATATCGCGATCCGGCTCGAAGGACCAAAAAATGTTTAAGATTGAAGTGAACTGTAGAGATTTTCATTGAGATGCCGGTTATGAGAGGGTTCGCGAAAAATGACTATGGTGCAAAGTTAATTAAACAAGGTCCTTATTAACAACATTGTCCCGTTTGTGAAATACATAATTAATGAGCGGTACGTTTAAGTAAGAGTTTTACACGAGCGGTTATGAGAAATGGCGATATTATTGATCGCCATTTCTGAGCGCGAGTGAGAATGAGAATCAACCGTTTATTACGAGTTTAAAACTCATAATACCCTTGCAATTATATTAATTGCAAGGGATTTATGAGCGTGAGCCTTGATAATTAGTTGTGAATTAATTACATTGAACACAGTAGATTATATGCGGCACAAAAGAACAAAGGAAACTAAGACTGAAAAACAGAGCACACTTGTCGCGTTTTAGATTACGAACAAGACAGACTTAATGGCCGCGCTCGTGGCCACCACGAGGTTTCGACCCGCCGGTAGAGAGATCGTTGCGCGCGCAGGTGGGCCAGCTATCCTGCTCGCGCACAAAGTGTGCCCGAGAGGTGCTGCCAATGAGCGTCGTGGTGGCCACGGCATGAGCGAAACATTGAAAAGAAACAAGGCACGTGCGTGTTGCTAAAAATGAGAGTTAATTCTCGAACATAAACAATATTTTGTAGAGAAACATGTTACATGTATACTCCAAAGTCTGTAGAACAACAATATCAAATAAACAAAAGAATATATACAGGGTGTTCGGCCTCCCCTGGGAAAAATTTTAATGGGAGATTCTAGATTCCAAAATAAAACGAAAAACAATAATAACAACTTCTTGATCGAGGCTTCGTTAAAAAGTTATTAACCTTTAAAGTTCCGCCCGTACTGATTTTTTTTCTAGAAAGTGGGTAGGATTTCGGAGCTATGTGTATTCGCCAAAAATGATTGTACTTGACATCTACAACCCAAAATAATTTTTCCAGAACGATTTGAAATTTTTTTTTCGCCGAAAAAGGTGACTACCCTCTGTTGATTTTTCTTAAAAATTTGTTTTTCATTTTTAATAAATTTGTTTGACACTCTACAGAAAAATTGTCTAATACTTTTTTGTAGGTACTCATAGGGTCTGCTATAGATACAAATTTCAATGAGATACCTTTACTATTGTAGGCGTTATGGCCGTTTGAAGATTGAACCAGTTTGAGGGGGGTTTTCTCATTTTGCGGTGTCAAGGAATAATTTTTTCAATACTGTTAGAATTTCTACATATTCTCCACTAAAATGCGTGTTGTTTGCATTTTGAAAAATTAAAATCCTCCAATCCGTTCAGGAGGTGTGACATTTTAAAGATTCACATGAAATTTCAGAGAAGTATATCGCCAGGAATTATATTTTCGATAAGGAATTTTTTTCTCGAAAATGCGTAGGCTTTCGGGGGTATGTGTAATGACCAAAAATGATTATAATAGACCCTTGCAATTGAAAATAATGTTTTTAGAATGACTTGAAATTTTTTAATTTAATTTTTTTAATAACTTTTTAACCAAGCCTCCATCAACAAATTGGTCTTCTTGATTTTCGTTTTATTTTTGCCTTTAGAATCTCCCATTAAAATTTTTCCCAGAGGTAGCCGAACACCCTGTATATAAACAATATAAATATTTCTTTTGTTTATTTGATATTGTTTTCCCACAGACTTTGAAGTAGACATGTAACATGTTTCTCTACAAAATATTATTTAACATTTTGGTCGTAATTAATCACTCTACGAATACGTTTTGCACTCACTGTACGATGTACACAACATTCCGCGAGGAAACATAAGGACACATTTCTTGCGTCGAAACAACTAAACTACGAACGTTTCTGTTTAAATTTCGTCCTTCAGTGGCTTCTTGCAAAATATTCGATTTATTATTAGCGAATTTATACGTTTGTAGCTTATAAATTTCTGATGCATAGTTAGTTTTTACGATTTCATAAGTTATTAGTAAAATCACTATTATTAGTATATTTTGCAAAGGTTCGTTTTTCAATGAATTTGATAAATTCAAAGGATTTATTTATGAAAATTTCCCAAGTTTTAGAGGACCAACGAATTTTTTTTAATTGTAAAATGTAATTCTGCTTTTTATTTAGTAATATCGTAATTTAAATTATCATTTTTATTATAATTTGCTATTCCCACGATTAAAGGGTTTATTCCATAAATAAATTAGTTAATTAAATCAATTTGTTTAAATATGTTGAAAACTATTTAAATTCGCGTTCGTCCGTGAAATATTATTTCTCGGCCGCGAGTCCCGTATCCGTTTGTGTACGTGACATTCCGGAAGGTTAGGCTGTCGCCGAGTACGTTCGGCGTACAGACAGTTTAAAACCGCGGTCGTTTACGTGTTTTGTACGCTGACCTCACGCGAAGATTCGCTTCAATCGCCATTTAAACGGCATAGTGACGTCAACATCGAGAGAGAGAACCGTATCGTTTATTGAAAAGAGTCTTCGTCTGTCGATGCTCGACGATTTTGGAAATTATTCACGAGCCGACTGCCAACGGGAGCAGATCCCCGAAGATCTCGCTCCTCAAGTACGCGCTCCGCCGAGCAAGCAAAAGGCTTCTCGGCAAGAAATAATTAATTTTGGACTCTGTGAAGAATTCTCATCGTTGCTGCGATTTGAGATTTCAAAAAAAAACAATCACTTTAGCGAAGGAAGTGGTCTAGTGCACGCAGCGCGTGACGTGACCGCGGACGCGAGAAGTTGATTGTACGTTGCAGTCGTTGCCGCGACCGCGACGTAAGGGACTCAGGGTGCACGCACCTAGAATTCCTTTAAAGCTATACGGCTTTGGAGCCTCCCAAAGGTCCTACCGATAGTTCGGTACCACCTCGTGGAGAGCTCTCCGTGCAAAGGTCACTGCGAACCCTATCCGAAAAACCCGTTGGTGTACGAGTCGACCGTACACCCACCGGCGGAGTTCGGGTTCAAAGCGCCTCCCACTCTTCACGCCGCCTACCACATACGGTCCCCGTACAAACGGTCGCCGGGTAGGCTTTATAGTGAGGGTGGACCTGCTTGGGATTTCCTACTGTAAATTCGCTTACTGCACAGCCCCCGAAATAATCGGTCGCTGTG